TGATCTCAAGAGAGTTTTAATTGGAATTGGAGCTAAACACTCCAGGACTGAGTTTGGAGACCCAAATCATATTTACCATAAATCCTAAATACAATTTCACCTTAGTTTTTCAGGTGATTGTATGTCAGGACATAGGATCAGTAAATCTAAGACAGATCCTTAAATTTGTAATCCCACAGTGTCCAATCTTGATCCCAGAGGACAACGGTCCTGCAGAGATTAGTTCCAACCTGAATTAAACATCTGAACCAGGTAATCAAGTTCTTCAGGATCATTAGAAACCTCCAGGAAAGTGCGTTTGATGTAGGTTGTAGCTGAACTCTGCAAGGCATTAGACCTTCAGCATATTATATTGCAATGCACTGCATAATGTTCAAATAATTAAAAGGAATGGAACACTAAAATTAAGTTTTTATATCTATTTTTATATCTTATTATTGAAGTTCAGGAGCAGCACTTTCCAATAATCTACCCAATCAGCACGAAAGTGTACACACACACACATATATATATATATATATATACATCAAGCGTAGCGTTAGTTCTGGCAGGTCACGTTAGTCAGGTTCGCATCAGCTGACTCTCAGCTGATCCCCATCTACTTATGGGAATATGACGCCTATCTAAGCATTCATATATAAGGTTTTCATATTGCTCAATGGCTAATTAAATGGCGAATTCGGCAGGCAAAACACCATCATCACTAGGAATCGGGAATTTAGAGAAGTGGAATTCATTTCCCCAATGGTCTCACCTCCAATTCATTCAAGTTTGTTAACTTGAACACGTGAATTCACCACATTATAAGCTGCCTGATTCGGAAGTGACTGAGTTAGCATTAATTCACGCATCGCTACATTATTGTCATGGACTCCACGAGTTATGTGACTGACTCAAGAACAAGTTCAGATGGGAACTTCATCCCCAAGAAGGATATCAAGAGATCAAGCATCCACTCCACAGCTGCTATGTTTCACTCTCTCGAACGTCTTCACAAGCTAAGTTAATGCTCTCAGGTTCTCTGCAACATGCGTGTTGCTAAGGCTATCCGTGTTGTTTAGGCTCATTTAGTTGTCTTCAGTTAAATGCTTGTGCTAGTTTATGCGAATGTGGCAACACGCTTGTCGCTGCAATATGGGGGGGGGGGGGGGGGGCG